AAAAATATCCAATACTAAAAAGATTAAAATGTGCACAGTAAAGAGATTAAATGATTAAATCTTTTCACTACCGACCAATGCACCACGAGTGCCCCTGTCGGTCATTTTGGCCAGCCAATCACATACCATGGTACGGTGTGGTGGCTTGTGTGTAGTTGCGTGCAGTATGTAGTAGTTGTGATAGTTGCGAGTTTGTGTTAACACATAAGATGTGTTTATTACTTCTGTTCAAACCTCCTCTCAGGGAAATGATAAAAACTTAACAGTTTGAACATGTACTGTGACATCTGGTCTAAACTCAAGGTCTGTTTCTCTATGCACTTAGGAAAAACTACAGTGTTTTTACTGTCATAAACTAAACCATTTGATTGTTGATTGCCTTATGTGCTTGCTGAGGTAGATGCTAGTGGTACAGATACTGGTGAAGTTAGACTTTTCTTCATAGTATGTATAGATATAATTATGATAATGATTGATGTGCTGAACACTTATGTTACAGGAAATTAGGAATTTGACACAAGAATGGTGTGGAGGATGTTGTAGCTGATGCCATGTCATGTGCTTAGCTTTGGGAAACTTTTTCTGTAAGCTGATTTGAGTTTAGTGGCATTTTTCTTGTCAACAGCCTACTTTGTTTTAACAAAATATTATGTTTCTTATTAAGGGTGGGAGTGTCATATCTTGCTGTGTTTGTTAATTGAAATTGGCAGTCTTGTTTGGATTGTGTGCAGGTCTGTCTGGGACCGGCGAGGTGATGGGCTGGCAAATCCCTAAGTTATATTATTGCTTTGCAACCTGTCAGCAATTCATCAACAAGGGAGTCCTTTGAGTTGAAAGGATGCCGATAGGTGCCCAAGAATAGGAGGGGGTGAAAGTCAGTTGTTAAGTCATGGTCTGCTGAGAATTTTAGGATTTTGTTGGTTGTCTAGCAGCACTATATTTTTGGGATGTAAATGGAATGTAATTTTGGAGATCTGGGGAAGCATTACATTTAACTTTTTTATTTTTTCTAGATTGGTTAATTTCAGTGTAGCCAGTTCGTTGCATGGTCAAATGTTTTCAGCATTGCCATTGTTGTTGCTTTTAGGGGAATTATTGGGTGAAAATGTGTAACTATTATTATT